CATAGTTTTTGAATAAATGAAATAAATAACTTTTATATAGCAATTAATTACAAAAACTTTGTCTGCCCTCCCGACAACTGTATTCGCCCTCCCGGAATGAAAAACCTGGATAAAACACTGATGGGAACGTATAATTTCACAATATTTATAACATTTAAACATATTTGAATTTCAGTACAGTGAAATTATTGGGAGATATTTACAAGCGACTATTGACTATAGTAGACTAAACCAATTCAATTCTTCGTTTTGGATGAAACAAAAATGGATTTTCAAAATTTCCATCGTTACAGATTCTTCAGACAAAAACGTTATTGTTTTTTCCATTTTTCCAGACATTTTGTTTCAAAAAAATCATTGTGATAAAATATCATTTTGTCTTTGTTCTTTTGTTATAGAAAAATTCGAAGTAATTCTTATGAAGAAACGAAAAATGATACTAATTTCAATGGTGATGTTGGTCACAATATGGAACAAGTATATACCACCACATCTTCTATAATGTTGGCCGAAACGAATCAATTAGACATCATCGATCTATCAAATTCTAAATATAATGAAAGCTGTTTCGACACAATTGGTCGCATTCAAGCAGCAGTAAAAATTACGCGTTTAAATATTATTGCCAGTGAAATGTTCATGGAAACATTAATTGAAATTATCGGATGTGTGCCTGATATTGATTCATTAGTTATTTCATCTTTAGAAATGATACCAATAAGATGTTTATCTACTGAAGAAGCAAAAACTCTTCGTTTATTATCAGTAAAGAACGTAATTACTAAAGTCAGACTTCATCAAATGAACGACTTGGCACCCGTTAAGTTTCTTCTTCATCTTTGCCGTCGTATGAAATATCTCGATGTGGACTGTACAAAAAAGGTGTTACCTGAAACAATTTTACGTTTTATTCTAATGCACAAGATCAAACGCATCTCAAGATTGCCTGTGCTCTGTTTGAAAATTCCAGAAGCAGATATAGACATCGTAGACAAATTAAAAAGCAGCAATGATATTGAGCAATTGTGTTTCGATTATAAAATCGAACAAATCGGCAATAAAATTTATTTACGATTGTTCGCATGATCATCTAGTAGTTTTACAAACTTTTAATGGAGCAGATGTTTCACATGTAG